AGGAAAGAAGGAAGGAAGGAAAGAAGGAAGGAAGGAAAGAAGGAAGGAAGGAAAGAAGGAAGGAAGGAAGGAAGGAAGGAGCTAACTTTTAGTTTAGATTTGGGGGTATTTGTGCAGGTTTGTTATATAGGTAAACTCATGTCATGGGGGTTTCTTGTACAGATTATGCATCGCCCAGAGACTAAGCCTATTAACAACAGTTATTTTTTCTGATCCTCTCCCTCCTGTCATCCTCAAATAGGCCCCAGAGTCTGTTGCCCCCTCTTTGTGTCCATGTGTTCTCATCATGCAGCTTTCACTTACAAGTGAGTACATGTGGTATTTGTTTTTCTGTTCCTGCATTAGTTTGCTAAGGATAATGGCCTCCAGCTCCATCCATGTTCCTGCAAAATATGTGATCTCATTCTTTTTATGGCTGCATAGTATTCCATGTTGTTATATGTACCACCTTCCCTTTATCCAGTCTACCATTGATGGGCATTTAGGTTGATTCCATGGTTTTGCTATTGTGAATAGTGCACCAATACACATAGAAGTGTAAGTGTCTTTTTGGTAGAACAATTTCTGTTCCTTTGAGTATATGAGATTGCTGTGTTGAGTGATAGTTCTGTTTTTAGCTCTTTGAGGAATCACCTACAGCTTGCCACAAGGTTTGAACAGCATATGAGGGTTCCATTTGCTCTGCAACCTCACCAGCATCTGTTATTTTTGATTTTTTAATAGTCATTCTGAGTGGTATGAGATGATATCTCGTTGTGGTTTTAATTTGCATTTCTCTAATGATCAGTGATATTGAGCTTTTTTTCATATGCTTGCTGGCAACATGTATATCTTCTTTTGAAAATTATCTGTTCATGTTCTTTACGCACTTTTTAATGTAGTTGGTTTTTTTTCATGTGAATTTGTTTAAGTTCCTTATAGATGTTGGCTATTAGACCTTTGTTAGATGCATGATTTGCAAATATTTTCTCCCATTCTGTAGTTTGTCTGTTTACTCTGTTAATAGTTTCTTCTTGTTTTTACTTTTACATGAATGTTTACAGCAACAATATTCATAAAAGCCAAAAAATAAAAACATCCTAAATATCCATCAACTGATAAATAGAAAAACAAAATGTGGCATATCCATACAAAGGAATATTATGCAGCCACAAAAAGAAATGATGTACTGTCACACGCTTCAACATGGATGAACTTTGAAAACATTATGTTAGATGAAAGAAGCTATACATGAAAAGCTACATAGTATATAATTGCATTTAATTGAAATACCCAGAATACATAAATCCTTAAAGACAGAAAGCAGATTAGTGGTTAATTAATATACATTATTATTAACTAAAGACCATACTTATTTAGGTTTCCTTGGTTGTTACCTAATACTCTTTTTAAGATAACATGTTAAATTTACTCACCATTTCCCTTACTGTTGATGGTTTCTTCTGCTATGCAGATGCTGTTAAGTTTAATTGGATCCCATTTGTCAATTTTTACTTTTGTTGCAATTGCTTTTGGAGTCTTCCTCATAAAATATTTGCCAGGTTTCCATTTCCCAAATGATATTGCCTAGGTTGTCTTCCAGGGTTCTTATAGTTTTGGGTTTTACATTTGTCTTTAATCCATCTGGGGTTGATTTTTGCCTATGGTGTAAGGAAGGGGTCCAGTTTTAATCTTCTGCATATGGCCAACTTGTTATCCCAGTACCATTTATTAAATAGGGAGTCCTTTCCTCGTTGCTTGTTTTTGTCAAAAAAAAAACCTGTCTATTTTAGAATAAACAATTCTCCCTTGATAAAGAAGTATTCTAGGTGGATAGATGAATTTTATGGCAGCAAAAAATAACTATACATTTGTTATTCAAATCTGAAGAACATGACAGTCACCTCAGGTAACTTATTCTTGAATAACAATAAGGTCAATGTTTAAAAAAAAAAAAAGAAGAATAACAGAGAAAGGGAAACAAATAGGGAGAGGCCAAATATAAAGTTCTAGATGTATATTTATATATCTAACACCTGCTACTGAGAAATTTTGAAGATCTCATTCCATGCATGCTATACTAAAAGCAACCATTTTATCACATGTGCATTTAAATTGTTGGTGCATTAGATAATACTCTTTTTTTCACTTGTTTTCTACACTCAGAGATTCTTGAGACTGTAAAGTGTGACTAATTATGGTGTATATGGTGTATGAAGATGAAACTCTGTTAGCACACAGACAAGGACAAATTTGTTTTATTCTGTTATTTGTACTGCAACAGAGCAAAATTTACTCATCACTACAATGTAGCGATTTAACATTTTTCATTACACTCATCATTCTGTTATTATGTGTGTGTGCATATGTGTGTGTGTGTAACCATTAATCTTTCCTAAAGTGGCCACAGTATCTTTTTCACTAGATGTTTTCATATGATGTCTTTGCTTGATACCTGCATTAACATGAAATGATGGCTAACATCACATTAAACTGGCCCTCTTAAATTAAGCATGCAACAGTGTTAATTGCCCATTTATAAGTATTATAGAACTGAATTCAAATGTGTGTGACTGCAGAGGTAGTCATATGTGTTGCTAGTTTATTTTTATAATTAGATTTTGAAGGAAAATGGCCCAGAAATGGTCCTACACAATACATGAGAAAAATAGTATTTGATAATTAAAACAGAGTTTAGGTTTTGAACATGTTATTCCTGACAAAATGTTAAAGTGGACGGATGCCCTTCATACCAGAAAACAGTTGTTCACTGGGTGTTAACAATGAATCATTGAAAAAACACTGCATTTAAGGAGCCAAAAACAGTGCAAGCTTTCTCATTTTATGCTTTCTAGTATTCAGTGGGGGTAGTTACTGAATTTCTTATTTACAAAATGCTCATTCTTTTCAATCTTGCTTACAGAAGTGAGAGATTACTGGACTAATAAATTACACATTGCCCTAGAAACATAGAAACTTAAAAACAGAAATCTGTATTAGATTCTGTGTTTAATTGTGAGGAGTTAAACCAGCAGCTTTAACTCTGGAACACCATAGAAAAATATCATGTGAGCTTTCCATGGGGAAGCACTAACTGAAAATTGTATGTATGCATTCAGCAAAGAAAAT